GTAATCTCTTTTCTTTATTTTGCTGTTAGAGCTGCCATTGTTGCAGGTTTTCTTTCCACTGCTGTAATCTCTCCTCTTGTTTCTTTTCTCGTTCTTCTTGTTTTTTTTCTTTTTCCTCCAACAACTGCTGTAATTTCTCTTCTTCTTTATTTTCTTTTCCTCCAACAACTGTTATAATCTCTCTTCTTGTTTCTTTTCTCGTTCTTCTTGTTTCTTTTGCTGTTCTTGTATTGCTGCCATCAAATCTGCTTAGCTGTAGTTTGATTTTTCTTTTTCTTTTCCTCCAACAACTGCTATAATCTCTCTTCTGGTTTCTTTTCTCGTTCTTTTTGTTTCTTTTGCTGTTCTTGAATTGCTGCCCTCAAATCTGCTAAGCTGTGGTTTGATTTGCCGCTTCTCTTTTCCATCTTTTTTTTTTGTCCCACTCTCTGACACCAATTTGTTATGTCTCTGTTCGTTTGTTAATTTTCCATACAAATTCTTTCCGAAAAACTTTAGCAATACAAGTCCTTCCTTAAATAAAACTAGTTTATTATTTCTCAATACAACTTTGCAATACACTTAATTTCCACAGTCACTTTAATAACTTAACAAACTCTATAATTTACAACCAACGATTCACGCCTACTACAGCGCTCAATTGTCCGTCTTTATCCCTGTCTGCAATTCAATTCCATTGTTGCCGTCACTTTTTACCGGTCTTATATATACATAAAGCGTACATCTCGTCTCTTCGTGAATCTTCTAGAAATTCATCACATGTTACCAGAGTCACGTGACTTCCGCTGTCGTAACAGTGGTAATAGCACCCAAATGCGTTGGGGATATCCCATCTATCAATATCAGACAATATCCAAACGCCGATGTCAATCTAGTCAGCCGTAAAATCAAGAAAAAAATAATCATCAATCAAATAAGGGTACCAAGCTCAGTGCTTACAACCACAACGTCTCAGCTTCTACTGCCTTTCACTGTCTTAGAGTCTATAACCAGTTGTGGGAAGGCAGTTTCCCTTAAATTTCTTAAAGTAAAAATGAATTGCAATAAAGCCACCCCAATATTTCTACTAATTAAACTCCCAACCTTCACCCTTACAAAAATATATTAAATAGAACTATACACCATGCCTTAAAAGTTCTTATATAGTTCTAACTCCCAACCTCCTCCTTTTCTCCTGAAGATTTATTCAACTATAACACGGGAACGCCGAGACAAGCCCAGCTTCTCGAAGTTAGTCTTTCCGTCCCAGTTATACCAAATAAAATTACTAGAAAAATTATTATTACCTACTTATAAGCTAAAATAACCACCTCCCTCTATACTTTATTCATAAAATATTTTCCTTAATCGATAGTTTAGTTTCTAAAATATTGTTACGACAGCGGCAGTCACGTGACCTAGTAACACGTAATGAGTATCTAGAAGGTTCCTGAAGGCTCGAGTGTTTGCCAGACGCCCTCTATTTTGTGTATATAAGACCTGCAAGAAGTGACGGCACAGATTATTGCAGACAGTCAGAGACAGACAATTGAGTGAAGCGCGGTAGTGACCTTAAGTAAAGTGCGTGAATCGTTGTGAATTATAGCGTGTGTTTAAATTAAAGAGACTGTGGAAATTAAGTGTATTGCAAAGTTGTATTGAGAAACAATTAACAAGTTTTATTTAAGAAAGGACTTGTGTCACTAAAGTTTCATCCTAAAGAAATTATATGGGAAATTAACAAACGACCAGAGACTTAACAATATTTTTGTATTTTTTAATAAATAAAATAATGTATTTCTTTAATTTCCTGTCTCTATAGCTGTTATCTTTCAATTTATTTCTTTATAATAAAACATTATCCATAAAAAAATATAGTTATTACATACTATTAAGAGTTGAGATACAATAATACCTTTTAACATGATACACGGAATAACACTATTACTGTTTAGTGTGGATAGACCAAGAATAGAAAAATTAAATTCTCATCTTTTATAAAAAATAGTGAACTGCACTGTACCTTCTATAAAAGTAATATCCAAATCAAAATAATTAGAATGGACCTATTATTATTATTACTTCTTTCTGTTGTAAGTTCTGTTGGATATATTAGGTTTGGTGTACAATTCATATTATTTATAGATATTAAATCATCTACGTAAGGGAAAGTGTAAAAGTATAAGTTAGGATTTAAACTCTGCTTCCTAAATGAGTTTTCATAAAAGAATAGATACAGGTTGGCCATATTTGAAGAGATGTTCCTATTGGAATACTCAACGTTTGCTTATATACTTGTTCGTTAAAAAAACAATATAACTGTAATAAATACAGAAATGGAGTACATTTTTACATTGAATTCTAGTAAATTTAAATTTGGGTACAGTTATTTCATTATTTATAAAGTTATCAAACAAATCATTGAAAACCCTGATAAAATCTAGGTCTATTTTAGTATACGATGTAGTAAAATCATATGTAAAAATAGAACTGGCAGTTTTGAATAATTTAGATTATTTAAACATTCCAAAACTGGAATGTTATTCTTAATAATCCAAAAATAATTATTTTGGTTATTTGAATACTGTATTTTTATGTTTTCAAACAAGACATCTAGAATATTGTTA